AGTGGGCTGAGGCCTGCTCTATTTCCTCTGAAATTCTGCTTAGGATGGAAGAACAGTTTTTGATAGCTTACTCTTACTCCTTTTATTCCTTTTTTTTTTTTTTTTTTTTTTTTTTTTAAAAAAAACCTTTTTTTTTTTTTTTTTTTTTTTTTTTTTTTTTTTTTAGAAAAGACCTACTATTTGTTGGCTTTTGTTGTTTTTCAAGACAGGGATTCTCCGTGTAGCCCTGGCTGTCCTGGAACTCACTCTTGTAGACCAGGCTGGCCCTGAACTCAGAGATCTTCCTGCCTCTGCCTTCTGAGTGCTGGAATTAAAGGAGTGAGCACCACTGCCCCAGCAAGACCATGCATTTTTGCAAGATCTTCTATGTACACATGCATGTGTGTAGGGATTTGTACATGAGTGCAGTTCCTGCAGAGCCCACAAGAGGGCATAGGATCCTCTGGAACTGAAGTTACAGGCTGCTGTGAGCCTTTATCTGACTTGGGTGCTGGAACCCACCTCTCCAGCCCCTGCTCTTCCTTTTTAATTCTCTTGCCTCAGCTCTCTGGGTCTTTGTCTAGCTCCCCCATTCTGAAAGTACACATCCCTGGTTCCTTTTTGCATCGCTACCCTAGGAACAATGCCTGCTTCACTGGGCATCTCCAGTTTAGCTGCCATATTTGTGTTCTCTTATTGCTTTGCTTGGGGCCATTTTTAATCATGGTACCTGAAATATTTTGCTATTAAGCAGTTCCAGCAGCTATAACATAACTTAGTTGTCTTTCTATTGTTGAACATTTATTTCCATTGTTTAGCTCTTATATGTCACATTGCCATAAGAACTCATGAATTTTCAAAGAAAAACTCATTTTAACAAGACCCTTGAGGATGTCACTTTACAAGATTATATCTTAACTCAAGTGGGGAAAGCAGCCACCTGCTTGACAGGTCATTGCTCATGGCTTGTTGCCCATCAGCTCTCACATTGCTTTTAAACACAAGTCACTTTGCATGTTAGGGACTTCCTCCCCCTAACATGTTCTGATGTTCTGAGGGTGCCATGTTTCCAGAGAGACCGGAACCTCAGCACAGGCTTTTCTCTTCATTGGCTTCCATGCAACTTCAACCTTACGAGTGACATTCCTCCTCCCTTTATCAACAACAGTGAAACATGTCATGTCTGCCAGTGTGTGTGGAACCTTAACATTTTCATCATCCGGGAAGCTAAAAGAACCACCATGTCAAAGCAGCCAAAGGCTTCTGTAGAGATGAGAGTCCAAAAATGAGGTAATATGGATGCAGAGTCTCACAGAGTATAGACTGTAAGGATACTTTACAGGGTTTTCATAGGCCTTGTCTTAGTCTTTCCATGAGCTCTCTTTTAAAATTACCTTCTCATTATAAAAAACCCCAAGGACCACATCACCTACAAACAACATCACCAAGACTGGGCCTTCAAGAGCGACAGTGTTGAGGAGTGATTTATGTTGCACAATATGTGTGTGTGTGTGTGTGTGTGTGTGTGTGTAATTTTTCACATACTTTTAAAAAAAGTCAAACACTTTAAATTCCTGTCAATAGAGTGGTGATTTAACATTAAGGGTCAGATATGCGGTAGACTGCACTGCCCCCTGTTGTGTTCTTGTGTGAAAGGAGTACTGAGATGTACTGTTAAGTGATAAATGAAACAAAACAAAACAGCATTCAGAAAAGTAGTCACAACATTCTAACCTTGTGTGGAAGAGAGGACTACATATATGTGCTTAGACCATGGACTGAGTCTACAGGACCATGGCGGTCACTGAGTATGAGACTCCTCAGGGAGGAACAGAGGTGAGGACAAAAGAAGAGAAAGGTTTTGTTGCTTTCTCTGTATAATCTCTTAGATTTTGCACTGTATTGCTCACTGGGAAGTCTTATTTATTTTTGGTTCCTGGGAGTACTAAGCATAGAATAACCATATGACTCAATATTTCCATTCTTCAGTATGTACCCAAAAACTGAAAATGAGTCAGACAGACATGATATGCTAATACTACTGGACTTTGTTTTCAGTTTGGTGTTTTTGTTTGCTTTTGGAGTGAGCCTTACTCTGTTGCCCTAGCTTGCCTAGAACTCACTATGTAGACCAGTCCAGCCTGGAACTCCCAGACATGGGCCTGCCTATGAGTGCCGTAATTAAAATTGTCTACCACTATGCTCTGCCTAATAATGCAATATTGATAGCAGCTTTCTTCCCAATAGCTACAAGGCAAAGACAAGCTGACTGCCTGCCAGCAGATGAAAGTGTATACAACACAGAATACTATCCAGCCACAAAGGAGGAACTCTGATACATGCCATAGTGTGGATGGACCTTGAGGGTACTATGCTAAGAAAAATAAGTTAGACCCCAAGGGACACTCATGTAAAATCCAGACAGGCAATTCATAAAACAGACAGTCCCTAAGGATCATCAGAGGCTCTGGGAAGGGAAATTTCTATCTGCAATGATGAAAAGCTTTGGATAGGGAACGTAGTCACATAAAATTATGAACACAATTATTGATGAAAATCATATACCTACAATGTCAAAATACCCACCTTTTCATTTTATATATTTACCGTAACGAAAATTCAAATTAAATGTAATTAAAGAAAAAAAAGGCATCAAGTAGTTTGACCCATTCTCTGCTGAATTCTTCCACCCTGACCCTGCATTCTCCAGCCAACAGTGCTCACTTCATTCAGAGCGCGGGTGCTTTACTGAATGCTGCCTAAAATAGAAATGCATGTGGACATCCAATCCATCCTGTTTGTTGGAATAGGTCAGCCCTCAGCCCAGGCCATAAGCATGTCATTATGGCGTGAGGCACGGAGCCTATGGGTCAGCTTTCTGGCTGTGGGAAAGCAGAGGCCAGTGTGACCCGGTTCTGACTGCACGTCAGAGAATTTCACTGATGAAGGTGACCTAGAAGTGAAGTCCATTGTAGGCTAGGAGCTGAGGAGCCAGGGTATCTCAGGGGGTGGGGTGGGACACGGTGGGCATCACTGAGGTGATTGTGGGGGATCTCACTGAATATTATTTTAGCTAGAAAAGCAGTGGAGGCCAAATGGTGCAGTCCTTGGTCCTTAAGTCTCCATTTGCATGCATCTGAACTTTTAAATGCTGCTGTGGGAAAATGGCTTAGGGCTTCCTGCTCTTTTCTCTCATCCTGTTTACCATTTAAAGACTGTGCCTTCTCTCCTAATCCAGCCGATAACTAGGGCTGTTCAATTTCTTTGTAGTCTTTCCAACTCAAGCTATGGCTGCCATCTAGTGAGTAATCCTTGGCATTACAGCATCCTACTTCAAATGCCACGCTCAGTTTCCACACTTAGGTCCCTTGGCACACATCGCCCTGAATACATGGGCTTTGAGGCCCAGTAGTCAGATCTGAGCCATCAAAATAGTGAAAAATCTCATGAGAAGGGACACTGTGCTGTTCATAAGATAAGCTCGCTCTGACAATTAGGTGTTATAAAATGTTTAAGCAAGACAACCCACGAGAATTAGCTAACAGCGAAAGAAAATGTACTCAAGCAAACTATTTGCACATTCATTTCCAAGCTTTCTCTTCTTGTGTGTTCTACAAACAATTCCAGAGGCTTTAGCAGTCTTGGACTCTCACAGTCCGTGCTGCCTCATGGGCCATCCTACTTGTGGCCAAGGACAGCTGCACACACAGCTTGACACAAAACGTTAAACTTAGACAAAGCATTATGAGAGGGTTTCCCTGACTCTATTAAACCATCCTCCAGCATGACCTTTGGAGATGACAGTGTTCTGCCTCAGAGTCAAAAGATTGGAAATGCCTGTTAGCATAATATTCTGGGTTTCTGAATATATATAAAAAGAGCTACATTTTCTTCTGTTGTTTTATCTATCATTAAGAAGCTTCATTTTCCTTTAAAAGGTGGCCTGACGATACTGCATTATATGTGCTGGGGATTTAAAACTGAATACTGGTTGGGGCTGGCTCAGTGGGTAAAGGGGTTTGCCACCAAGCCTGCTGACCTAAGATCAATCCCTGGAGCCCACGTAAAGATGGAAGGAGAGAACCAACTGCATAAGGTTGTTCTGCAACCTCCATACATTGGCTGTAGTTTATGTGTGCTCATGCCCCATGTACACAATAATAATTTTTTAAAATAAAATAAGGGCCACTGAGGTGACCCAGCCAGGGAAGGTGCTTGTTGCCAAGAGAGATACTGAGATTTATCCCCAGGACTCACATGGAAGAGAAAGAACTGACTCTTACAAGTTCTTCTCTGACCTGTGTGCACATGTATGCACTTGTGCACGCGCGTACACACACACACACACACACACACACACACACACACACACGTACGTAAATGTTTCAAAAATAAAATAAAAATTTACACCAGTCACTCAGAATTCTTGAAGAATCCCTGGTAACATTCTGTGGCTGGACCTTTAGAATTCCTAAACAATGATGACTCTATTTGGAAAGTATCCTGAATTCTGTGTGTTTGCTTCTAAGACATGGGCCCTGGGAACCCCCCAATTATAAAATGGAATGCTTACAACTTGCCAAGCTGTAGACTGAATCCCTATCGCTGTAACTTGTTTTATATGTCTATCTATATCTACACATATGGATTCATATAGTTAAATAAAATAGAATCTGATTTAAAATTTTTTCATTGTGATAGCACCTTTTCCTAAACTTTGCTGTAAGTCACTTCCTACCCCTCTTCTGAGAGATCCAGACAGACTTATTTTAAATTACCTTCTGCCAAGTACTATGAATACTGAAGAGACAGTGGACACAATTCCACTTTATTGCCAAATTGAGTTTATCATTCAGTGTAACACTCCACAGTGATAGCTGGGATCCAAGAGCCATCCAGGCTGAGCATAGAGGTTGTGTGGAAGCATTCATGTTGTCTCCAAAGCCCCAGGACCTGCTTGACTGGTGATGTAGCTGGTACTGTTTTTTTCTGTTTGTGAGTTTCTGTGCACATGGCTTTTGCAGGGAAGGCCAGAGATACCGGGTGTACATCGTGATACCACTGCTGCCGGGATTCGAAGGCGACATCTCCACAGGTGGAGGGAACGCTCTTCAGGCGATAATGCACTTCAACTACAGGTGCATTTCAACTACACATGATCTTTGCATCATGCATGGAATCCCGGGAAGGGAGCTGCAGGATCTCTGCACATTTGTTCAGCATTTTACTTGCAAACCTTAGTATTTGCTAAGTGATAAAATTCAAATGTCACAGTCATACATGATGAAGCTCTCTCCTCTCTCTGTCTCCATTTCTCCCTCTCTCCTTATCCCCCACCCTCTTTCTCTTCTACTCTACTCTCCTGGGTCTCATTATACAGCTATGGCTGCCTGGAACTTGCTTTGTGGACAAGGCTGGCTTTGAACTTCAGTGTTACCCCTACCTCTGTCTCTTCTATATTGATTTCTAATACATAATATTAATGAAAAATATTTTTATACTACTAATGCCTCCACTCCTTTCAGTAAGTAGGGAAAACTAAAACAAGAAAGTAAGTGCTAATACGACACAATTTGAGTGCATTCAGTTAGACAGAACAGAGATGATGACCAGAATATTTCTTTACAAGTGTCACACTTTTCCAGTCATCCATTTTGGGGTGGGAGTGGAGAAGGAGACTTTACAGAGAACCAAGGGCTTCCAGGCCTTGGTCACACTGCGGGGAAGGGTTACATGCTCTATGCTTGGCTTCAGGGGAGCCCAGCTGCTTCTGATAGCACAGTTTGAGGGCACCACTGGGTGGGATTGTAGCAGTGTTTGATACTAAGCCTCATATGACCCAGGCTGGATTTGAACTCCCTGTAGCTGAGGATGACTTTGAATGTCTCATCTTCTTTACTCTACCTCCCAAGGGCTGTGATATAAGTGTGTGCCACCATGCCTAGTTTGCAGAGCTGGGGATGAACCAAGGTTTTCTTGCATGGGATTAAAGGCATGCACCACTATGCCCAGCAGTTTGTTTCTTTTTACCACTGACTCTTCCAACTTGTGTCTGTACATCTGCCAGGGTTTTAAGTAAATATTGGTGCTGAAGCTGTTATCTCAGGGATGAATTCACCTGGTTACAGTCAATACCTTTTTTCTATGTACTTGTACTGAAGATGGGTCCATATATAATGTTATCTGACTAAGTACATAACCAAAAATGTTTTTCTGAGCACTTGTCATGATGTTTAATTGTTCTCTATCTGCTTTCTTGGCAATTCAAATATTACTTTCGGAATAATGTCACTTGTGAGTATTTCCTATGACTGTCTCTTTGATTTTTAAATCAGCTGAATGAAATACACATTTGGCTGTTTGCTGTTCAGCAACCCAAACCTTTTGTTAAACAAAAAAAAATCTCTATTTGTTGGTGTTGGTTTTAATAATATCAGCCTTTCCAAGCATGTCTATATTTTTAATTACATTTATACAATAGGCAGATAGAGCACAGAATTTTGTTTTTTTTCTTTTTAACATATACTTTTATTATCATCCAGCTCAAATATTTTAATTAAAATTTTAAAGTTCTTATTAGCATATACTAATAATAATCCGTTTTTATTATAACCTTTTCTTACATGCATACAATTTCAATCATATCCACTCCCCTTTATTCTCTTTGGTCCCCTCTCTCACTCGGGCCATCCCCTACCTCTTCCCAATTAGTCTCTCATGTTTTCCTTCCTTTCTTCTCTCCTCTCTCTGCCTTTCACGAAACAGTGAGTTCTATTAGTGTTTGCAAGAGCATACAGGAGAGGTGTTGTGTGTAAAGGAGTGCCTTTCCAAGACTGTACCACTGTAATGTCTCCCTCTTTCGGGTTTTTGGTGACTTGATGGAAACAGCCCAGTGGAAGGGTTATTTTTATGATAGTTCAGACTTTATAATAAATTTAGACCTTATAATAGTCTGCTTACTTCTTGATGTTCTGATGAGAGTGTGTCCTTTTCACCCCAGAAAGCAGTATGATTTTATAAACACTCTTATCTGTGAAGACTCCTAAATCTTATCCTTGCTGTCACAAAATTTTCTAAGGGAAAATTCACTCATAGCCCATCTGTCTTTCTGAAATCTGATTTCGGTTTCATACCTCTTTCATTGATTCACATCAAAATAACTGTCTTTTCGGTAATTTTACAGAAAAGTCCTATTGCAGTTTTCATTTTTGAAAGTAGGCATAGCATTTTCTCATGAAAGTACTTGTCCCATTTCCACTTGGGTTAGGGTGACATCCATGGATATTACTGTTAGTTAGCTTTAGTTGTTGGAACCTCTGTAACTATGCCTTTCCATGTTTTCAGGACCATGTGCAGAGGGGAGAACTCCATCCTTGGACAATTAAAGCCAGAGCGTAAGTGTTTTTCTTCTCTTCTGTGACTGTTTCTAGGGAACATCAGGAGTTAATAGAATTAGCTATGAAGATGAAGTGGCAGCATCTAGCCCTTATTTTCCTTGTTGGTGTGACCCTTATTTGACAAAGTAGCTGGAGGGAGGAGGGTTTACAGCCGGAAGCCACAATCAGTCAGGGCAGGAAGTCAGGGCAGCAAATGCTTCAGAGGCTGGGCACATTGAATTCAGTCAGGAAGTGGAGCAGTATAATTGAATTCAGTCAGGAAGCAGAGCAAGATGAATGTTGCTGTACCCTTTGTCCTTTTTATTGTCTGGAACCCACACTCATGGACAGTGCTGCTCATACTTAGAACAGACGTTCCTACTTTAACTAACTTAATCTAGAAAACTCACACTCACACTCCCAATTCTAATCAAATGAACTGTCATGTTATCCGTTAATGTTCATATAGCGTGCTTACAGAAGTTTGTTCTTCACGTAAGCCTCTTCACGAATACTCTGCTGAGGTAAAGCACTGCTTATCATTGAATTGCCTGAACCAATGTTCATATGAAAACACCTTTGCATGGAGTGCATGGGTGATAAACAGTGGACACATCTCTGTACTTTTATTAATTATTTTTATAATTTCAATGATAACTGAGGAGTTTCACAAGGACTGTCTACATGTATTCCCAGCTTCTTCCCTCCCTGTGTATCTGGATTTATGTTGAGGTCTTTGATCCATTTGGACTTGAGTTGTGTACAGAGTGATAGATATGGATCAATTTGCATTCTTCTACATGCTGACATCCTGTTATGCCAGCACCATTTGTTGAGGATGCTTTCTTTTTTCCATTTTATAATTTTAGCTTCTTTCTCAAAAAATCAGGTGTTCATAGGTGTGTGGATTCATGTCTGGTTCTTTGACTCAGTTCCACTGATCCAGCTGTCTGTTTTTATGCCAGCACCATGCTGTTTTTATTACTATAGTTCTTTAGTAGAGCTTGAAATCAGGAATGGTGATGCCTCCAGAAGTTCTTTTATTATACAGGGTTATTTTAGATATCCTGGGGGGTTGTTTTTCTATTCAAAATTGAGTATTGTTCTTTCAATTTTGGTGGGGACTGCATTGAATCTGTAGATGGCTTTTGCTAAGATGGCCATTTATACTATGTTAATCCTGCTGGCCCATGAGCCCATAGTACTTTCCTACAGCCTATACCATAATCATTTCCATAATGTTTGGGACAACTGTGGATGAGGAAGGGAACAAAGCAAGGTACCATCTTTCATTGCTGCAGTTCTTTCTAGTACATTCTTAAGTGGAGGAGAGAAGAAGAAAAATGAGTGAGAGAAAAATGTTTGATATATATATGGGACTAGTATCTAGACTATGTAAAAATTCATGTAACTCAGTAATAATAAAAAAGTAGATATTTTGAGCTAAACAGACATTCGACTTCAAAGAAGATACAGAGATGACTAATAAATACATAAAAGATTCTCAATATCATTAACCATTGGGGAAAACCACAATAAGATGCAACTTCACACCCTCTAGGATGACTAAAATAGTGATCAGGTATTGGCAATGATGTATAAATAGTGGAACCCGAACCCTCATACATTGCTCTTGGGAATGAAAATTGGCACGGTGTCATTTGAAAACAGGTCGGTAGCCTCAGAGGCTAGACAGAGTTCTACATAGGCCAGAAATTTTATTTAGTATAGAAAATACATCAATACAAAATTTGCACATGAGTTCTCAGTCAAAATAGGCAAGGTGAGAAAACCATACAATGTCCAATAGCTGATCAATGTATAAATTGTATGTAAAATCATACAATGTGTAATTTGTGTGAGCATGTATATGCACACATGAAGGCCAGAAAAGCACATTAGATTTGCTCTATATTTCTCTGTCTTATCATAATGGTGGGATGGTATTGATAAATGATAAGAAGGAATTAAATGGTATGTGCTAAAATATGGATGAACCATGTAAGTACTGGGCTAACTGAAAGAAGCCAGGCACAAGAGCCCATGTGCTATATAGTTATATTTTTATGCGATGTCTTTTGTAGGCGAGTCCATAGCAATAGAAAGTTCTATAGTGGTTGCTAAGGTCTGGGGAGAGTAGGTGGGATCAGATGCCTATTAGATGGGCATAGGGGTATAAACTATCTTAAAATTAAGTAGTGATGAATACAGCTTTGTGAATATACTTTTTAAGAAAAATCTACTGAATTGGACCTGGGAATGCAGCTCAGTTGGCACAGTTCTTGATGGCATGTATAAAGCCCTAGATTTAATCCCAGTACCATAGAAACCAAGTATAGTTGTGCACATCTATAACCCAAGCATTCAGAAAATAGAAAAAGGACCAGAAGCTCAAGGTCATCCCTAGATATATACAGTATGTTCGAGGACCACTTGGGATGCATGAAAGATGAATCACAAAAAATATCTACCTAAAAGAAAAATCTGTAAGGTGTAGCAGTGCACGCCTTTAATCCCAGCACTTGGGAGGCAGCGGGATCTCTATGATCTCAAACAAATAAACAAAACCACAAAAGGCATTGACTGTGCACTGTTTATTTGCACTTCTGGGATTGAACCGAGAGCCTTGCACATGCTAAGCAAGCATCTGAATCCACATTTCCAGCCCTGTAGAATTCTTTGGAGATATTTATAGACTGTTATGGATTTTTAGGGGATTTCATAGTTTTGTAAAACTAAACTATGGGTTTAGCTGGATGTGGTAATCCACATCTTTAATCCCAGCACTCAGGAGGCAGAGGCAGGGCTCTGTGAGTTCAAGGCCAGCCTGGTCTACAGAGTGGGTTCCAGGACAGCCAGAGCTACATAGTGAGACTCTGTCTCCCCAAAATAGATAGATAGATAAATAGGCTTAAAGTTCCCCACAACAGTTGTCCTCGACCTTCCTCATGCTGTGACCCTTTAATACATTTCCTTATGTGGTAACCCCAACCATAAAACTAATTTTGTTGCTACTTCATAGCTGTAGTTTTGCTACTGTTATGGATTATGACATAAATATCTGATATGCAGCCCCCAAAGGGTTCATGACCCACAGGTTAAGAACCACTGTCCTACAGGTGTATTACATATGTACACAAATGTCTATCCGTGCTGTGTATTTAGGAAGTGTTCAGTAACGGTCTGTCCTGACACAGTTATGTGTATCACCTAATTGTGCCTAGGAGAGAGTAGATGTCCCAGAGTGTCACCTTGATAGCTATTGGTTGATGAATCAATCTATATAAGAGACATATTGATAAACAGTAGGAAAGGCATCCTATGCTGCCTGATGTGGGTTGTAAGGAGAAGGTGAGGTTATAGGAGAGAAAGGAATCAAAGCAAGCATAGTCTTTCCTTTCTCAGCTGTGAAAATGTCCTGAGCTTAATATAAAGCACTTTCTTTGGCTCCAGACCCTTTTTTGCCTTTGCCATTCAGGGGAAATAAATTGGATTTTAACACAAGAAACAATTTCAATGGTAAGCCTGGTTGGGGGAAAATTTCTAAGCACCCTGGGAACAAGTCAAAATAAGGCTTCTCTGCGGGAGAGTGTTCACATTCTGAACATGGAGAGAAAAGATTAATTACACAGTGCCCTTTTCTGAAGCAGAGGGTCACATGGTTGGTTTTGTTTCGGTTAGTGCTGGTGGGTTTAAAGCCCCAGCAGCCTGCTCCCTGACTGGGGGAAGGACTGCAGTATGCAGAGGTTGGTGTTCCAGTTATTTGCAATAACAAAACTGCAGCTGTGAGGAAGTTAATTCCCTGAAAAGAATTCTAGCCCCAGCCAGTCTTTGGACCTATAATCTCTCCAGAGACCTGATGTCCAGTTTAAAGCATTTCCTTATCATTTTTAGAGTTTTTGCAAATTATAACCTTTTAGGGCCAAGTAAATTAGTGGCCAGGGGTATTCAAGCAGGATTATAAATACACAGCTATCCCAAACTCCAATGTTAAATATTATATAAGCCTGTGTTAATTCTTGGTATTTTTTTGGTTTGGTTTGGTTTGGTTTGGTTTTTAAATCAAAATTGCCTTGTAAACTTTCAGCACTGGTGTGGCGCCTACCTTCCTTCTGGTATCCAGACAGCAGTTTCAATCATAGTTAGTCCTGGAATGTTGTCTCCAAAATCTCATATTCCATGACAACTCACCTGGGAATCCCACAGGACTTGCCTTTCCCTTTTTTCCCAAAGGTGCTTATCTGTGTTGTTGGATTTTTGTTTTCCTCAAAAATCACTCGTGTTCCGCATTACAACTTGGTAACAGCACGTCAAACACCACTGACTTTTTGCCCATCTTCTTTCAACTAGGAGCACATGAGGTGGGAGGCTGACCCGTCCCGAGAGTCCAGTCATTCAGGGTTCCGAAGGGGGGGCTGCCTGAAAGAGTCATGGATGAGAGAAAGGAAGGAGACCCTGTGGCGCAAAAGAGGGGACCAGAGTCCATCTATGCAATTGTCAGGGCCTCGATTTATTGGGGCTCAGAGTGGGCTTATATAGCCCTGCAACAAGGAAATTAGGCAAGCGGGGGAATAGCAGGAAGGAACATCTGGTATTTGCTGGGGCTGGGACATTCTTTCAGTATCTTCGAAAGAGCAGGCAGAAAGCCCCACGCCTTTTCTCGGAACAGCAGTTGTTAGTAGTCCCGGTTGGCCAAACTTAATTCCCTGAAAAGAATTCTAGCCCCAGCCAGTCTTTGGACCTATAATCTCTCCAGAGACCTGATGTCCAGTTTAAAGCATTTCCTTATCATTTTTAGAGTTTTTGCAAATTATAACCTTTTAGGGCCAAGTAAATTAGTGGCCAGGGGTATTCAAGCAGGATTATAAATACACAGCTATCCCAAACTCCAATGTTAAATATTATATAAGCCTGTGTTAATTCTTGGTATTTTTTTGGTTTGGTTTGGTTTGGTTTGGTTTTTAAATCAAAATTGCCTTGTAAACTTTCAGCACTGGTGTGGCGCCTACCTTCCTTCT